TGAATAACTCAAGAATTAAATCCCTGGCTTTTGAAATGGCTCGATTTTTGTAGCACAGGGAAACAGACATTTTGAGTCCCATTGTTACTGCTGTGCTCCCCAACACTCAGACACAATCCCTCGCCCTGTGGGCATAACTCAGGTTGCTGACAGTGTTTACAGATAGCATTTTCATTCAGGAAGAGGGGTAACATACATGCACGTCAAAAATGATGATTGTTAGAGGAAAAAAAACGATGATTCTTTATGGGAGCGTGTGATTGTTTCATAAAGCAACAAACAAAGCCCTGTTGCTTAGTCTCCACCAGCCCCACTTCATTTGACCTCTCTTGAAATTACTGAGTATGCCTTATAATTAAAGGACAGTGTGACCTTTTACCCTCTTTCACCTATACCTTAAATTGACACACCACTCATTTATTATTTCATCTTCCAACTTTCGCTAATTGTTCTCATTGCTAATTAGAATAATAGTAAACATCTTATCCTCAGGTTACTGTGTCAAGAGAATGGCTTTATTTGGGATATAATTAACTTATTTAACTTTGATTTGGCTGTTTTACCTCCATGTTTCTCAAAGTCCTGAAGATTCTATACCACCAAAAAGTTAACCTAACCAAAGAATTATTTAGCCAAAAGTTTGTTATCAAATTATACTGTAGAGCAGAGATTCCCAAAACGAGACTTGGGAAGTTAACCTACTATCTGGGAGGGGAGGGATGTGGTCTCTATATATTCTAAAGCTAAGCTTAATCCCTGTTCTCAAACCTTCCCCCAACCCCCAGTCTTCTATTTTTAATAAAATGGAGCTGCTATCTTCTCAAACCCCTCCTTCTCAAACTCTCTCCTCCTTTTCTCCTTCATCCAGTTACTCGTCAAATCCCATTCGTTAGGGCTTCGTGCTTCCAGCATCCACATTGTCCCCATTCCCAGTTGCCATTGCCCTAGTTCAGGCCCATATAAGTTGGTTTCTCTCTAATCTCTCTCCCCTCCATCCTATTCTGCACACTGCTTACACTCCATGTAGATTTTTTTTAATACATTACCTCATTTTCACCACTTCCCTGCTGGGGACCTCAGTGCCTTCAGGTTGGTGGTTCTCACACTTTAGCGTGCATCAGAATCCGCCAAAGGGCTTGCTAAAACACAGACAGTTGGATCACACCCCTAAAGCTTTTGATTCAGTAAATCCAGCGAAGATCTAGTTAATTTGCCTTCCTTACAAGGGCAGGTGTTCCCCTGACTATCCTTTGAGGACCTTGGCTCCGGGGTGAGCTGTGCTCTGTAATTCTAGTCTGCTCCTGTCTGTTCATTCTGATTTCCTCTGTGCTCTCCTGTTCACCAGTGCACCTTGCATTCCCTCTGGTCACATAGGGACAAGACTCAGGCTCAGTCAGAACCAGCTCTGTGTCTTACTTACCTGATTTCCATCTGTCCTGTTGACAGCTGTGGGCACCATTCAGCAAAGGGTATGGGGACGGCAGTACTGCTTTTGCAGAGAAACCACTGAGTAAGTAATACTGTGAATGAATAAGTGTCGTGAGGCGAGGTGGAGAAGGCACCATCCTAAGCAGAGCGTCATGAGGCTATCCCTGTGGACTGCCAGGCTGCCTGCGCCCCCAGGCATGCGTTGCAGGTAGAGTGGGTTGGACTAGGGCAGGGAGGCAGTTATATATGGTAGTTGACTCTTCTTCACCAGGTACTCTCTTACTTTTCTTAGCTTTTTTCTCCTTGCCATTTTCTGTCATTTAATCCCCTGCCCCTTTTTCTTCCTGCCTTAGCCATGATACTCTGGCTCTTTTGGTGGCTTTCTGGGCTGAAGAGGCTTCTGAATGTTATTATAAAGCCACACAATTGATTCTGAAGCTTTTTAAAAAGATCTTTATTAAAATATAGCTAACATACAATATTGTATTAATTTCAGGTGTACACCATAGTTATTCAACATTTATATATTTAAAGAAGCGATCATCCTAATAAGTCCAGCAACCATCTGACACCATACCATGCTATCACAAAATTATTGACTATATTTCCTATGCTGTATGTTACATCCCCATGAGTTATTTATTTTATACCTGGAAAGTTGAACCTCTTATTCCCCTTCACCTTTTCCCCCCCTTTTTTTGATTTTTCAATTACAGTTGACAGTCAATATTATTTTATATTAATTTCAGGTATATAGCATAGTGGCTAGACATTTATATAATTTAAGAAGTGATCCCCTGACTAGTCTAGTACCTACCTGGCACTATCATAGTTATTACCATATTATTGACTATATTCCCTATGCTTTATTTTACATCCCCATGACAGTTTTGCAACTACCAATTTGTACTTAATCCTTTCACCCTTTTTCACCCTGTCCACCAACCCCCCCGCCCATCTATCACCCCAATAAATCTAGTACTCATCTGATACCATGCGTAGTTATTACAATATTATTGACTATATTCCTTATGCTACACCCTACATCCCCATGACTACTGTGTAACAACCAATTTGTACTTCTTAATACCTTCCCCTTTTTCACCCCCCCCA